GAGCGGAAGATATCGACACGTCCGTCTCCTTTTTTCGCGCATGAATAACGCGCGCACTTGATATATTTAGAAAATTGACGACCGCCACGTGGACACGTCAGAAAATAATCGGACATCTTTGCAAAACAATATGGAAATAACTGAAGCTCATTTCATTAGTGTCAGACAATGGAGCGCGATAGATTCACCTCGCTGCAAATGTAGAACGATGCGCATGCAAATGCGCATCATCGTCATCGATGCATCCGTCGTTAGCGATCAGATTGATGGATCGTTTCATAAGAATGCGTAAAAGAATCGATCGATCGAAACGCGAGCGAATCCTGAAAAATTGTTCGACGGGTATGATTTCGCAAAGTGTTTAATCGGAAGTGAAGATTGCACAAAGAGAGCCTCTTCCTCTCTCAACTTACAAAAAGGATATCGCCACTAGTCACGAAGAGAATTAACTGTAAGCCTGTAACGGTTTATAAAGGCGGGCGCGCACTCATTACGGACGATTTATAATTTGCCATCAGGATCCACGGGACGTTTATAAACGGCGCAGTGACCCCGCGTCTAATGTACAATGACAGAAATCGATGTATTCTTAGGCTAGCGAGTCCGCCCCTAATTATACGCGAGTCTGTAATTACATATCGATGTCTAATTGGAGGGCGACCCTGGGTACCAAAAAAAAAGACGACCGTTGCATAAGGAATGCGGTCAAGAACCTACGCGATCGCATCAAACGCATTGATGGGAGAGATCGTCGCAGTCTCCCCGTCTCGGCTCCACTCACAACAATGGAAAATAGGTCTAATAGCTGCGGGATTTTTATCTAGGCGAGCACCGAGTCTCCGAGATTCGCATCGTTAAATAACACTCCAATTAGCGGTACGCTTCTTTTTTTAACATTGAAACGAGCCAATGCTGTAAACAAGGGTCGCGTTTACGTAATGTGACCGAATTTTGTCACTTCAAAAGTACACGCTAAATTTATAAATAATTTATATAAATGCTGTGAATTATATAAATTCGCAATGTAATTTAAAAAAAATGATAAAAGAGATATACACGATATTATGTAGCTGCTTGATTTTATCTTTAATTGCTAAGCCATTTTTATGCTAAATGCGCGGTCGGCGAAATCTATAACATAGGTATGACAGGATGTTACGAGACGATGCAATAGGTTCGTTAGACCTGCCTGTTCATGCCATTGTCAATGTCATATCGATGACAACCTTGCTGTGGATTACACGGATGGTAGGTCAACGCACGTATCTACGCAACGGAGCGCTTTCTCTCTCTCTCTCTCTCTCTCTTCGACTATAAAATCGATATTAGTACATGTCGAAAACGTATCGATATTACGCGACAATATTCGTTTTCATCTCGCTTCTTTTATGGAGGAATGGAATAGCACGAAGAGCGCAAAATGTTGAAAAAAGATTCAAACGAGAAAAAAAAACGTCGTGAACGCCTTTAATAATCATCGATCGATATTCTCGTTCTTATTAGAAGAGCCTTTACGATCCATTGTCTTCTTGGAACGTGCCCACGGTTTTCCTTTAATTAAAAGCGCTCCCTCGCGGCTCCACTCCTTTTATAATTATTAAAGACGCAACTTTAACAAATCGTGCGCGAAATTACCGTCCGACATATATCGGAATATTATTGTATTAATATACAGATTTTATAATCAGCGATTTACCCTCGCAATTAATTTCGCTCAACAGATGGCCGAGTTTTTCATCCGTGTAATTCCGAGAAACGATTGATACCTGAGATGAATTCTCTTTGCCTTTAATGTATAAAGAGGGATCGAGCAATGTGAATGGAGCAGGTTCAAGGTTTTCGATTTCTTCGAAGAAAGGTCTCGAATGGATTATCGAAGCAAAAAAATAAAAACGTAAGGAAATTGCGTGTAGAGAAGAGAAGAGAAAGAGGAAAGTATATATATATATATATGAGAAGGTTGAATTTCAGTAACCGAATGATGTGTGTGAAAAGCACCAGGACTCGCTAGTTCTATTTAGATTATCAATATAATGTATTATTGATGGAGTGGCGTGAGAGACGAGGACACAAAACTCGATACCTCGTTGAGGATTCCTTTGTGACGAATAAAAAGCACACAAATAAGCGAGAGAGGATAAATTTAGAATCTCGCGTTGTATCGTAGCGCCTGGGAGATACGAGATGTCCTATTTTAGATACACGTGAGAGATGAATAACAGCGAATACAAAAGCCGGATAAAAATTTATAATAGTCGTCTCTCGGATGAATAAAAGAATTAGTCTTATTGAGAAACCC